AGCTAACTTTAAAGATGCCCCATGAGAAGAGCTTCTCTCACTGATGAACCCTCCTGTGAGCGCTGCCTTCTTTCCTTTTTTGGTTTTTAAAGGAAAGAGGAAAATGTTTCAGGGGGTTGTCTTTGATTATGAGTGCCTCTGGATTTCTCAAAACAGGTCCGACGGGACAGCCTGCTGCTTAGAAGAGATGGTTTGGCATGGCAGTTTAGAGGCAGTGCAGGCAGCGAGTCATCCAAGAACAAGTTGGAGAATAAAGAAATCGGATAGTTCAACTACCGTCCTTTATACATGACACACTGAGCAGTTGACCCAGGCTGTCCATTGAGTGCACTCTAGATTCAGGGGTGTGAATTTTTTGTGTTTGGAAGAGGATTCTTGCCACCATTCCCTACCCCTCCATAAAGTTTCTCTTTCTTCGGAGACTTTTGCTCTACTCTGGGGCCTCTTTGTGAGACTCTGAGACATGACCTTGGCTTGATTTCAGTCATCTGCAAGTGAATAAAGCGGCCAGGCCCCTGGTCATCCTTTGGTGGTGGAGAGCAACACCCTTCACCTACCCCATCAGCCAGAAGTGAGTCGCTTCTTTGAACTGAACAGAGGAGAGAATCCACATGGCATCGGTTTCTACCAAAAAGTTTGCTTTGCCTCACGGCGCTTGTTTGTCCGTCTCATGCTTTCCTCCAGTCACAAACAATGGAAGTCATGGACCCTGAGTCAGTGTCAAACCCAGGATGACAAGAAGGCCAGTGTCATAGCCTCCAGTAGCTACAGCCTCCAGTGATAATTCCATTTTGTCAAAATAATACTGTGTATAGAGCTGGAGAGATGGCTCAGAGGTTAAGAGTATTGACTGCTCTTCCAGAGGACCCTGATTCAATTCCCAGCACCTACATGGTAGGTCACAGCCATCTGTAACTCCAGGTCTAGGGGATCTACCATCCTTTGTTGGCCTCTACAGGCACTGCATGCATGTGGTGCACAGGCATGCATGCAGGCAAAGTATGTAAAATAAAGATGTGTGGATTTTAAAGAGTATGTGGTTGTTTATTCTTTACTAAAATGAATTAGCATTTAATACCAGACTCCACAGTTTATTAAAAGCTCTGGTTTTGTTTGAATCGTCACAGCAGTCTTTTGAATATTACAAAGATCATCGGTATTCTTGGTGGAGAAATTCAGGTTCAGAGAGGTTTAACGGCTTGCCCAAGGTCTCTCAGCCAAAAGCCAGGAAGACAGGTGGGCTCAGATGCAGCTCTGTCAGAGCGGCTTTGAAGAAACTTACTCCTTTCCGTTCTCGAGTAAAATACACATCTTTGCATTCTTAATACTAAAAACGGTCTTCCTTTGGGAAGTGGAATTCTTCCAAGGATTCTTTCTTCTCCTGCTGCAGAAGATTTAGATGAGAACTCCCCCTTCCCTGAAGGTCTTTCCCCTTTCCCTAATGGAAAGGACAGCACTGGGTGACTGCTGTGTGTGGACTGAGGACGAGCTCTGTTCTGAGTGAGGAAGACAAGAAGTCTAAATCTTTGCGACCGTAAGAAGACGAAGAGAAGACTTTCCTACCAGGGACCGAGCAGAGGGCCAGGATTGACGAAAGCAGGGTGCACAGCTCGATGTCAGTGATACAAGGGGGATGGGCACAGATGGAGTCCCTGCAGAATGGTCCCTTCTAGAATATTCTAGATTCAGTCTTCCAGTTGGTGAGACTGGAGCTTCTTTGTGTGTTTGACTCTCTCCCCCAAACCTGAGCTGGGGCTTGGTTTAAATAAGCTGGAGACAGGGTTTAAATACTCTTCCCATAGGCTTAAATTATTTACACAGCTCCCTTCTAAGAGGCATATTTGAGGGAGTAGACCTCCTCTTGACATGCTTTTTAGAGGTCCTATCTACACCAGGGTCTTAAAGACTTGCCTTGGGCACATTTCTCATCAAGCACTAACTTCCACAGAGAAACTTTAAATATGCTAATTACGCTTCCCTGGGCCTTGGTTTCTGTGAAATACAGAGATCATCTTCTTTTTCCTCTTTTATGTCTGTGGAGTCACAGATACAAAGTCTCACAAGTCCCGTAAAGAAAGAAGGGGGACAAGTTCGAGCCATCTTTGGGGTCAAGATGATTCTTTTTTTGAAGTGAGGAGGGCAAGAGGAGTTTTATACATTTTCTAATTATTCTCTTCAATTTATCTTCCATGAGATTGCACTGTAGCTTTTGCTTGCCTTTCCTAGGGAAACGGAATTCTGTCTTCAAAATAGCTCCTCCGTAAAAACAGCAACAATGTACTATACCCACTTAGAGTGCCATAAATATGACTCGAGCCTTTAAAAACATATTGCTTTTGAGAGGAGAGGTGTCTTTATGCTCTTCTCCATTTTATTGGTTAGTATATCTTCATTGTAAATGATAATGTAATTTGGGATTATATTTATATAGATTGAAGTTGCCAGATAGAATACATACCGCTCAGTAAAATGTGAATATAGAGAAAAAAAGTTAGTAGTAGAAGTTCAAACACAACCTGGCAATCTGTATTTTATCTGCCGCCTTTAGCAATCTCAACATTGGCATGCCCTCCGCTGCCCTATATTGACTATTAATTGGCAGTATCACAAAACTACAAGACCAAGAGTTTGAGCCATTTTAAAGACTTAAGACATGCTTTCTCTCAAAAGACAGATGTGAAGTTTCTGCTCTGTGCCTGCTACCGCGACCTCCCGGATCAGGCAGCTTTCCTGGAAAGAGATTCAAAATCTATTATGAGTGTAATCATCATGAAAAAATTTGATGAGAACACGGCATCACGCCGAATAATAACTTTAAGTAGAAAACCCAGCGCGGTGGGATTTTCATCAGACCTTCGAATGTCAGGAGAAAAATAGTTCCACACTCAGCGAATATAGATAGGTCTGTTTGGGGTTGCGTTCAATCCAATTGTGTGTGGGGGGCTGAATAATCAGGAGTGACAGCCTAGGCACTTTCTCTTCAAAGTGATTTTACAGAAGGTGCCATTTCCTAAGGAAAGTATGCTCGCATCTCCAGTAATGCTGAAAAGGCACTAATGTATCCATTTATTGGTGCTGGTGTCATGAGCTGGAGTCACAAATCATCTTTGGGTTTTAAGAACTACTCACTGCTGCTTTTGGGGAAAGGGGCTTTCCTAGGATAAATGAAGCTTCTGAAACTTCTGGAACACTTCTGCAGTTCCCTTGAAGAGTCTCTGAGGGTCTTCACAGAGGGATCTCGCTTCACTTTGCAAAGCCAAAGTAAACACAATGAAAAACAATAGTCTAGTTTTCCTCAATAAGGGGGTGGGGGGAGCAAATTTGAATTGGGCTCTGTAATTTCAGCTTCCTTAAATAAGGCCTTTGGAAAACTTTGGAGAAGCAAGTGTGTGATTTTGGTCTTGGCTCACAACACTGAAACTTTTTTTCCTTCGTGTCTACCAAGGGTTTTCATAACAGATCTGCTCCCCGAACGATGTGTTCCACAGTTAAGTAATAGGTCCGATGCTGCAGGGTGCCAAAGTTTCCAGCTCCTTTTACTTTCCAAGGGAGGGTTAAATAGTTCTCTTAATAACTTGAAAGAAAAAACACAACTCAAGGCTTACCACAGTTCTTAGTCACAAGTTAAACGTTTTCAGCAGTTGGATGGTTTTGAGCTGGTTTAGCCCTAAGAATGTCTCCCTAGAAGGCTGAAGCGTAAGAGACGCTCAGAGCTTAGCTACTCTGAAGCAGAACTGGGACAGTTTGCAGAGGAGCTTGTGGCCATCTTCTCTGTCGGTGACACTCGCCAGCTACTGCTTAGTTCTCCTTGTCACCTGTCACCCGTAAATCATCTTGGGGACATCCAAGGTGCTGACTCATGCATCCCTGTGCTCCCACCATTCATATCGATGCTATTTGTAGAGCGTCAGCTATCATTCCCCTATGGACTTTAACAAATATAGATGCATAAATAACATTGTGTGTGTGTGTGTGTGTGTGTGTGTGTGTGTGTGTGTGTGTGTATGTGTGTGTATGTATGTATGTATGTGTGGTGTGTATGTGTGTGTATGTATGTATGTGTGGTGTGTGGTGTGTGTGTGTGTGTGTGTGTGTGTGTATGTGTGTGTATATGTGTGTGTGTATGTATGTATGTGTGGTGTGTGGTGTGTGTGTGTATGTATGTATGTGTGGTGTATGGTGTGTGTGTGTGTGTGTGTGTGTGTGTGTGTGTGTGTGTGTGTGTGGCCGTATTTTTCTTCACCATAAAAAGCTATGCTTTGAGTGAGCAGGAAGGACTATTTTCATTAAAAGGGAAACTCGGAATCAGTGGCTGTGCCGAGTTAACCGCTCCGCTGCTCAGCCCACTCTTGTCAGAGTGGGTCAGCTGCTCTCCTGTGCCTTCTCTCGGCCTATTCACATGATCCCCTCCGTACTGATGATGAGGCAATGAGCTTCTTCTCATCTTCTTCATCCTGTTTCACTATTGTCTGTGCCACTGCTTTGTGTGTGTGCATGCATGTGTGTGCATACATGAGTGGGTGTGCGCATGTGTGTGTGGAGGTTAGAGGACCACCCTAGGTAGAGTTCCGCAGGCGTCATCCACTTTTATTTTGAAGACAGTTTCTCATTGACCTGCAATTCACCAATTAAGCTAGGCTGGATGGGTGGCAAGCTCCAGGAATGTGGTGTGCCTCCTCAGCAAAGGGATTACAAGCATGCGCCAACACGAACAACTTTTTAACATGGATTCTGGGGGGGTTGACCTCTTGTGTTTGCAAGGCATGCACTGGTGCACTGTGCTGACTGAGCTGTCAGCCATGCAGTTAGTTGATAAGAGAGTGGGTGAGCTCAGGGTCCCTGCCCTTTACAGTTCATGGCTTTGGAATACGTCCCGTGGCCAAGTCCAGCTTTGTCGTTGGCTAAAGGTGACATGTGACAAGCACACACTGCATGCCTTATGACCACAGAGACCCTCACAGAACCTCTCTTGACCTTTGTCTCTTTCTCTTCTTTTCCAGGGATCTCAGTAACGAAGAAGACACACACATGTAAGTAATGCATTTTGTTTCTGTCCCAAGTTTTCTGAAGAGTTGGAATTCGCATATGTCTGGCTGCTGTGGCCTTTCAAGCATAAACCAATGTTTCCATGGTCAATAGTGGTCATATTTTCAACCTGTAGTGGTCGGATTTGGTACATCTCCACCTGTTCGTACTGAGTGTGTGTTGATGAGCAAGGTCAGGCATAAGCTGGTGTATTCTGGTGTTCCAAACCATGAATCTTTAGAGACGCCACAAAACCTAGCCAGGAGGATCAGTTACTTACTGCTCACCTCTTATTCTGGATCCTTCTTAGAAGAGTTTCTAGAAAACCCAGATTTCTTTTCAGCTTCTCTCTCCTTCTCCTTCCCACTAGCTCATAGATGAGGTTGTTTTGTTCTTATGTTTGTGGAGCAGAGATACTGAGGGGGATAGAGGCGCTGTTGCACAACCATGACATGATCCGTGGGGGCCCTGGTAACTGGCATCGATAGTTTGGTGTGGAACTGTGTGCTGGGTCTATGCTCTGTATTCATCCCACTTCTTAGGGTCAATCGCCTTCATCAGCTGCCTCACTCAAATTCCACCATAAACATAGCAACTCACGTCAGTGTAAGGTGCTGTGATCTGCAGTTGGAACAGTGATGTTTGACTGAGCCTTCCACTTCAGGAGGAAACACTGTGTTGCTGATGCAAGCAGTCAGCCTTCGCTGTCGTTGACCAGCATATTATTTAGGCTTTGAACGAATGGAGTCTTTAGAATTTGATGAGTATTTCAAACCACAGATACGTGCTACCTATGAGATGTGTTTGGGCATCTTTCTAAGGCCAGCCTTGGATCTATTTTTGGCACGACAGAGGAATGACAAGGATATATCCCCACATTTTTCTTCATTCAACTTTTTACATTTTTTTTTAATTCCACGTGAATCATTGGTCGGGGGGGGAGCAATATCTATGTAACATCAAAATAGTTTCACTTGTGCCTCAGTTGATTCTCAAAATCTGCTCTTGGGTTTGTCTGTCTGTCTTTCTGTATTTGTAGAAAAGGGAAATATAAGAAATTACCATTTTTATTTTTTAAAGTAAAAGAAGTATCTTGCAATGAGAAGCTGCCTGAAATTTAGGGCCCTGTCTTGCAGTTCCCCCATGTGGCTCTCATGGCTCTTCATGGAATGCTTGTTTGAACTACCACGAGAGGTCCAGCCCAAGCTAGGTGGTGTATGGTCAGGATGGCACCTCCACAGTTGCAGTCGCTGCTGTCCCCCCTGCCCCCGAGTCAGGCTAGTCTGTGACCCTTAGTTTTTGGGGATTGTCCTGTCGTTGTTCTTGTTCTTGCTGTTGTTGGTGCATAATTGAGCTCATGCTGACTGAGAGATTGACAGCGCAGGCCACTGAAGTCCTCTGTATATCCGCAGGGCAGGCATGGTACAGAGAGCTTCCCTGCACAGCCTTGCCCATGAGCTCGTCCCTGGCCTGGAGGGACCCACTCTAGAGGTGGTAAGTAATCCAGTCTTTCTGATAGCTCCGTCCTGGGCCTCTCCCAAGCAGGGGCTGCTGATTGTGCCTACTGTTTGTGGTGGTTTGGGGTGTGGACCTCTGGCCACCTAGCCATGTACAGAAAGCTACAGACAGTTTGCATTGTGGATTGGCTCTTAGAGTAAGCAGACCAAAGAACCCAGCTCAACTCCATTAGCTATGAAGAGCATACCTCAAATGATGACATCGCAAAAGGCAGAGGCCCCAGATGTTGTTGGTATTGTATAGACAGTCCATCTGTGAAGACATCCAAGGTATTGCCATCACTGAAAATAACTTATGGGCCTATATAGACATTCATGGAGGGGTTTAGGGGACAGCAGAAGAGCGGTGACTAGTGAGGGAAACAATTACACTTTAATAACAGACCATTTCACCAGATAGGCCTTTCTGCAAAAGCTTAAAGAATTTCATCTCTGTCAACCTTAAAAATTACAGCCAAAATAGTAGTTTCTTTCTAACCTTGAGAGTCAATCTGGAGTGTCCAACCTTCTGACACCATTATACAACATTGTCGTCTACAAAATTCACACCTGAAAACCTCACAATTCAATTGAGTTATTACCATAATATTTTAAGTAAGTTTTTGGTTTTGTATTGGGCCTCATTTATAGCTACCCTGGGCTTCATGAGGCCCGAGGGTTGCGGGTTGGACACCCTGGAAGACATTAAGCATGAAGTACGCTGTAAAAAAAACCCCAAAGTTCCTAAGTGTTCTTAACTGAAAGATTTAGGTCAGATGATGTCAGGACATTTGGGGAAGGGTAAGATGATATTTAACTTTTCTGAGTGGGGGAGAGGCCCCAAAATAAAATATCTCCGTGACAAGTTGGAAAGAATAGCACTCAGGCAGTGACAAAGGTCTGTGAACGTCAGGAGAGATGTCACCCTTCGAGATGCATGAGTGCGGAAGTCCTCTGTGCCATTGGAACATAGATTGTTTTTGTCACCCAGCTTGGCAGATAGTCCTTCATGTTCCTGGTCGTAGCATCTCTGCAGGGCCCACAATGTATGCAGGAAGAGAGAATCAATCAATTCTTTCTCTAATAGCCATCACCCAAATGATTTCTTCCTCAGAATCTGTTGGGATTTTCCTTGAAAACGGTCCTAACGTGCTTTGCGGGTTTTCTCTTGTTTTAAGACGTTAAATTTCAGCTGCTCTTAACTCCTCTTGACGTCTGTTCTTCAAGAAGTTTCACTACCAGTGAAGTATATGAAGTCATTTCTGTACTGATGCAAATTTTTCATTTTTAGCCAGGGTTCTGGAAACCTTGGTCAAGCCTTGACTGTATAATAGTTGACAACTCAAGTCGCCCTGAATTAGTGATTTCAGTCTGAGCTTTCTAACTGTCCTCCAAAGGAGATGCTTCAACTTACAAATTAATATGTATAGTTGCCAAATATATTATCAGACCAGTGTGTCAAGTCACATGTGCGCCACTCAGAGGTGCAAGAACTGTAAAGTGAACCTGAATCATTGTGACACTCAGATGTGTGTGAGCATGCATCACACACACACACACACACACACACACACACACACACACACACACACACACACACACACACCACAGTTTGGGGCAAGTTGAGCCATAAATTCCATGAAAGGACATGAGCTCATTAGCCTCCAGGAAGTCCCTGAGCATAGTCTTTAGAAACTCAGGTTCTCCCGAACATGTGAGACGCCTAAATGTTTGGCTGGTTGGCTCAGGGGAAAAAGCTAAAGCCTGGGAGTTTCTCATGCTAAGTCATCATGCCCAAAATGGTCAAGAAATTCTTGCATCTGTAATGTTTTTCAGTTGTTGATAGGAAATGTTGCTATTAGGTTTTAGAATGTGAACATGAAAAAGCTTCTTCACTTGTGGGCTAGGGACATTAGATCAATTTCACACTGTGGTGTGGAATTTCAGTTCCATTTTCATGGTGATTACATAGCCCACGGAGCTGCTCGGACCCTCGCAAGAGTGCCTGCGCTTTGTCTGTGAGGAGGAGTGTTCCGGTTTCTTTTCCTGATGAAATAATACTGGGTGGATAATAGCTTCTTGTGTTTCTTCTTGGAATCAACTGCTATTTTGGTTTTTTAATTGTCAAGGACAACTGGTCATTCATTCCTGACTTCCTAATCTAATTCTGCTTGGACAGTTCTGTATTTACATAAATGTTACACAAGAACAGATACAGAGCTGAAAACCTGCCGTGGGAGGGGAGGGGAGGGATGGCTCGGTGGGTAAGAGAACTGGCTGCTCTGCTCCTCCAGAGGACCCGAGTTTGGTTCCCAGCATCCACACGGGGTGACTCACAACCACCTTTACCTCCAGCTCCAGGGGCATCCAACCTCTCCCCTGGACCCCGTAGATACCTGCATTCACATGGCAGATACATACACAGAGAGAAACCTGCCCATTCACATAAATGAACATTTAAAAGAAAAAGAAAACTTGCAACAGACCATTCTATCCAGCATCGTGGAATTGTCACCAAAAAGCCACCACCAGGCTGGCCCAGAGGATATCATGAAGGCCCTGAGATTGTGCCGATGATACCTGAGCACCAGCGTTTCTTCCTGTTGCTATCTTTAGCTGTATTTCTTATTCTTCAATCTAAGCCTGTCCTGCCTCTTCCATTTACACACAGAGAAGTACAAATGTCCACAAAGCACAGGTGACTCAATGGTAAACAGTCAAGAAGGTGTGACTTTTTAGTCTCAAGTTGATTTGTTAGTTTCCCACACAACCTCCCCTCCCACACCAACAGAAATATTATATCCAAATATTCCAAAATATTTGAGTATTAACACAAATTGCTACTCACAGATAAGTTAGTACATCTTTTGATGTTTGGTTGTAACAGACTAACACCTAAAGTAAATAATCAAAGCACTGTATTATTTATAAATAGATTCTGATTTTTTTCAGAAGTCAAAATATTTTAGCACAGATATGAATACTCCTTTTAGGTGCTATCTTTTATGCCCCTTTAAAAAGTGTTTATTGCAATCATTTAAAAATAGAATAAATTAATGTATTCACCTTTTTTCAATTTATCTATATTTTGTTATTTTATGTGTTTGAATGCTTCGCCTGCATATAGGGACCACATGTGTGCCTTGTGCCCATGATGGTCAAAAGATGGCTTTGGATCTCCCAGTACTGGAGTTAACAGATGGTTGTAAGCTGCCATGTGGGTGCTGGGCATCCACTCCTGGGCGCCCTGAGTCCTCTGTAAGAGCAACAAGTGCTCCTTATCACTGATCTGACTCTCCAGCCCCGTATTCACTTTTATCTCCAGAGATGTGGCTTTGAATTTGAGTTGAAGAAAATGAGTTTTGAGGCCTCAATCTTCTCTCCTTGGGTCTTTGTGAATCCCACAAAATAAACCCAACAATTTGTCACAATTGTTACTATCTACTCAGAAGAACCAAGAACCAGAAAAGGACCACTGTCTGATTTGTTTTCCTTTCCTGGAGGCCGCT